GTCGAGTCTGATTCCACTCGAAGCGCACATGTTTCCCTGTCAGTTACTCCAGGGGTTTGGAGATGGCCGAGAAATGGTTAATGAACCTTCGAAAGTAATTAGCGAATCCCAGAAACTGTCTTACGTGCGTGACCGTCGTCGGGACAGGCCAGTTATGCACGGCCTTGATCTTCTCTGGATCTGGAGAAATGCATTGGCCGTCTATCCGGTGCCCAAGAAACAGAACGTCTGTCCGGCCGAATTCACATTTAGACGGTTTGCAATATAGCTCATTCCTCCTGAGGGCGTTTAAGATGGTTCTGACATGATCGAGGTGCTCCTCCCATGATTTGCTGAATATGAGGATATCGTCTAGAAACACCACAACGAATTTACGCAGGTATGGCTGGAGGACACTGTTCATCAAGGTTTGGAATGTTGCCGGGGCATTTGTTAGGCCGAAACCCATCACTGTGAACTGAAAGTGACCGAATGGGGTATTTATTGCTGTCTTCGGAATATCTGTTTCTTCTATTCGAATCTGATTGTAACCGGACCTCAGATCTAGCTTGGTGAAATACGCACTGCCTTGGACGGTATCAAAGAGGTCGTCAATATTCGGTAGGCATGCCTTGTTCTTAATGGTTATGCGGTTTAGCTCACGCCAGTCGCATACCATTCGAAGTGTTCCATCCGCCTTCTTTACGAAGAACACAGGGGCTCCGTATGGGGATTTGCTGGGCTGGATGAATCCTCTACGGAGCAGCTCGGTGAGCTGAGCTTGAAGCTCATCCATCTCTGGTTTTGGTAAACGATATGCTGCACGAGATGGCGGTTTAGCTCCTTCTTCCGTTTTTATCTCGTGATCTGCGCCTCTTCTGGGTGGCAGCTTGTTTGGAAGCTCATCGGGAAAGACGTCCCCGAACTCCTTCAGCAGGTCCTTGAAATCCTTCTGATCCTCCCTACCCGGACTATCCACCGTCTGTGGCTCGTCCGGATCTGCTGTCACATACGCTAGGATTCCTTCTGCGCCACCTCTCATTGCATGCCTAGCCTGCTTCCCTGAGATGAGGAACGTCTCGACCGGTGGGTTGGATTTGTCCGTGCCATCACTTTCACTCGGTTGACAGATGATGGATCCACCCTCCAGCTTGATTTCATTGGTACGAAAATTGATCTGTGGGTTCGTCCGGGTCAGCCATGGCTTGCCGAGGATCACGTCATACCGCGTCATAGGGAATACTAGGAACTGTTGGTGCTCGCTAAAGTCGCCGACTACGGTCTTCAAGCTGTCCGTTTTCGTAATAGGCTGTGAGCGGACCGATCCATCAGCAAGTGTGACGTTCAGGACGTCGCTACCGGTTGTTGTGGAGATGTTGTGCTTCTTGACAAGGTCAGTTGAAATGAAGTCGTGGGTTGACCCAGAATCCAGTAGCATGGTAACGCGACGTCCATTTATCTTGCCCTGGACGCGCATTAGGTCGTGTTCGTTGTCGGCGGAAATGCTCCCTGTGCTGGCGGTTACTTCATTAGGCCGGCCAACAGTATCAGGTGACGAATGCTTGACAGGCGAGGCTTGAATTTCGGTCTCCTCGAGGCGTGGTTCCTCATTTGCTAAGGGGCTGAATTTGTTCTGAACTTTGATTCGTGGCCTATTCCTGGGTGCTCTTGTGTTCGCCAGTAGTCGCACTCCCTTCCTTACTGGCGTCCATCGTTTAAAGAAGGCTTGCTTGTGGCGTTCCTCCCTCCTTCTGGACAGAATCTGGCAATATGGCCGGGTTTCCTGCAGGTGAAACACAGCCTTGAACGACCCTCTGGCTCCCTGGTTTCTCTCCCACCGGATGGTGTTGGTTGGCTTGACCAGGGTCCAGGCTGGCGCCTCTGATGCCCTGGTGCGCGCACTGCCTTGGCGTAGCTTGCTTGGGCTAGCCGCATCGACTGGTCTGCTGAGACCGCAGCTCGTATGGCTTGGGCCAAATGTTGCGGATGCTCCCTAAGTACCTCACCGCTTAGGCCCTGAGCCAGCCCACGCGTGAACGAGATAGCTCTGGAGTGGTCATCAAGCTCGGGAACTTGTAAGCTAAGCCGCGAAAATTTGTTGATGTATTCGTCAAGAGTCTCATCTTGGTGAAGAGCGAATAAGTCGATGCGCGCCTGTTCCCTGTCATAAACCGGGCACTTCTCCCAGCTTGCTCTTCAGGTCTGGCCAGTCGGAAAACAGCGTGTTTGCCTCCTGAGAGGCGATAAACCAAAGACGAGCGTTGCCCTCCAGAAAACTCGCCGCGTAGCTCAAGCGCTCCTCCGCGTTGTCCAGCTGCAGGGACTTCATGGCGAGTTCGATGGCGAAGGCCCACTCCTTGAACTCTCTTGTATCTCCACGAAACACAGGCGGAGACTTAACATGGCGCATGCGTGGCCTCTCTCCGCTGGGAGCTTGAGCACGTCTTGGCGGTTGATCTGATCCATCGCACTGACCGAGTGCGATAAGGTGATTCAGACGCTTCTTGAATCTCGAATATACCGTAGGCGACTAATGCGGCCACTGCGCATAGCCCGAACATGACGAAAAGAAAAACCATCCTCTTGCTACCAGTGTAACCGTCCAACTAACTTCAGTAGTCATTCTTGGAATAAGCAATGATCCTTGCCATAATGCATTCTTATATACATGAACAAGCAATGATGGACATAACACCTAACAGCAGCAGCGTGATAATAGCAGGTGATAAGTGTATCCTATTCCTAGTGTTAGTAGTAACAGTGAATCTGTTACACATATTGCCGATTTTGCAAGCAGATTGGCCATGCCATAGCGTATTGCTATCGTCGTCGCGATACACGGCACATCTTCCCTTCAACCCAGGTATGTCACCATTCCTGCTGTATCCCTACTCAATCATCAACCCGCTCAAATGCAACTGTTACTAGTACACATGCCACCCCTCTCGTGCAAGCTCCGCCGCGTATTATGCAAGCTCCCCCATCCAGCAGTAGTTTCCATTCTGTTCTTATGCTCCTCGCTGCCATATCCCTATCCCTAACTCGTTCTGCTGCCAAAGTTGTTCCCCTGCTAACATCTCTCACATTTAGTGTGTTTGCTACACTACACGCGATACACAAGGCCCTCCACGTTCCTTCAGCCACTCCATCCCACAGACAATCCCACTCCCAGTCCCCGTCCCACCATTCGATCAACAGCCTAGGACTCACAACCCTCCATATACCTTCATGTCCGTCCAGATACATACAGTCCACAGTTCTAGATCGCCCAACATTCCGTCCAACTGAAACTCCCCTACAACCGCTTTCTCCCACGTCTGACCACAAAGTTTCCTAGCCTTTTCGTTACCCATCCCGATCATGTCCACCCCGTTCCGACCACGCAATCAGTTTCAGACCCAAAATACTGTATACCCTGCAAGCACGCACTCAACTAACCAGTCCATGTACGTGTACAAGTAACAATGATTATACCGCCACATGGTGAGCGAGTCCTTTCCAGTGGTACAGTCCCAGAGAGACGAGAGTCAGGAATTATTACCGTCCACAATAAGAGTGACGCGATGGAACACATCCCTTTTACCGTCCAATACATGTATTGAGACGCGAACACATACATGTACATTTTCCCGCTCCACAGAGAGACAAATTCTTCACACATTTTAAATGCATGTGTCTGCCCTTTCACGAACACCCGTCCCGTAGACACGAGGACGTGTCTCAACGGAGGAGGGGCGGATGTAGTATCCCTGACTGTCAGTGATCACACAGCCAAGTCTCTACCAGTAGTTACAGGAACATTCTAGCTAAGTGCTTCCCACGCGCAACCACTTAGGACTAGATAGCCCTGCTTGCAAGACCGGTACGGCCGCATGACCTATTGCGTTCATGCTGTACTAATACATTACATTGATTCCTGTGTAGTCTGTTCCCCATCACTGACCCTCTTGATCCCTTGCGAGATTCCTTCCCGGTTCTAGGCATCCAACAGCTTTCTTCCCCGAATCCATGTTATTGTTCAGCCCTAGCTCACACACATTCAAATGGCTTTTCCTTAGATCTTTCAACAGTTGTCTTCCTAGTAATCTTTTGCACTCGCTCCCAGCTGCTCTCTCCCTCTGGCCTATATAAACCCATCATTCTTTCTCATTGCTGTGTGGAATTATGAAGTGAAGAGTCTAAGCCCAAGAGCTTGTTTTCCTCCCGCTAGTGCTGTCAGCCTGTATCACATTCTGTTGTAAGCCCAAAGTGCCTCAGACACGAGCAGGCTGGCAGACACTACAGCAACACTGTACTCGCCAAAGCTGTTACATTTCAATTTCGCAACAACGATCAGACAAAGCAGTTCAATTCACAACAACTCCGATCTGAGATAGTGTTGAACCATTCACTATCTTTCATAGGTTTGACATTCTTGACCAGACCTGGTATGTATGTGCTGCCGTATTTCCGGGAGTATATAACTTTATAAGGCTGCGTTTACACAGAGACAAAACAAACCGAAACGAAACGGAATGAAAACGCGTTGGCCTCAAATCGTTTTCAAACCACGAGAACGGCAAATTGTTCTGAAGCGTTTACACGAAAACGGAAAAGAGGCGACCAGGCTGGAGTTAGCACGTGCTGGCTTGGCGCACGGGCGGGAAGTAACACGTTAGTTGGAGTTGGCAGGTGCTGGCGGGCCCAATAGTTGGACATTTCCCGCCAAAAACAGTCCCCCGCGGAATGGTTTCCATGACCGCACTCCGTTTCCAATCGTTTTCACCGTTTACACGAGAACGAAAACGTTTTGAAAACGTTTCAAACACTTTCAAGTGCGCTTCCATTTCGTTCCCCTAATAGGTATCGTTTTCGGGCATGGTTGTGTAAACGATAGAAGTAAACGCAACGATTTCACTCCGTTTCGGTCGTACTTTGTTACCATGTAAACACAAATCGTTGTCGATGTCAATCGTTGTCGTGTAAACACAGCCTACGCCACACTTATACCCCGATGATGAAGCTAACAGTGATAAACAAGGTAGATGTCTGTATTTCGTGCCAAAAAAAAGGTAGAGGGGGATATGGCTTATACTCCGGAAAATATGGTACGTATCATAGCAAGCAGTAAGTGCTGGATAGGGAGTCCGGTAGATCTACCCAAACGAAAACAAGTGTGGGTAGATCTACCTTTCCCCTACTTGTGCTGCCGGGACTCCCCAACAATGTGACGTAGATCGACCGTTATCTATTCTGGATTTTATCACAGAAAGCTGCGAAGTATCCGGAGAGTGGATTATGAAAACTTAAGTGAGAATGCTTTTCAATGTAAAATCGTGGCAAATTAGTATGGAAAGATAGTGTTTATGTGCTGGAAAGCTAATAAAATGAATAGCGAAATAAAGTCACAAACGTAATAAAACAATAAACAAGTACTTGTAAACAATTGAATTAGTAGCCATTATTCAACCATGCCCCGTGACATGTAGCTCCTGGCATTGAGCTGCACTTTGTTGAGCTTTTTTTGTCACTCATTTTATAGCTGTCATTTTTCTGTTTGGCTGTTGTTGCTTTTGGGTGATAGAAAAGCTATACATGCGGTGCATACACATGAACCTTGCATTGATGTCTACGCGGAGAAGACCCTAATGAAAAAATCATAATGATAACACAAGACCTGCTAAGGAACAAGTTCAGCCGCACTGGGCACAGAAGTTGTGTTGACGAAATCCGGGTCCAGTGAAAAGTACTGCGCACAAGCGCGTTCGGACAGGAGGTTCTTGATTGCAAAGCCACCTTGCGTCGTGAAGATCTTCAGCCTGTAGACAAACAATAGTAGGTACATGTACCACAGTTCAAGAACCACATAAATTGTGTTCCACTCCTTCATAAACTTGCAAATTGTGTTTTGTTTGCCCGTAAAATATGAACCACAGTACATGTACTAGCACCACTATAGGATCTCCTTGGGGTTGGGAAATCTGTTGTGCAGCCGCTCTTTATGCCTGTCATTGTGCACAAAGTGCAGAGCGCTTCAAACGAAAAAAATAGAAATAGGTCCAGTTTGCATTTGTCTTGACTCAAAGTTTCAAGCCACTGCAATCATCAGACGACAGTGCAGTGGCATGAAACTTTGAGTCACGACAAATCCAAACTGGACCTATTTCTCTTTTTTCCATTTCGTGTAGATAGATAGATAGATAGATAGAGAGAGAGAGAGAGAGAGAGAGAGAGAGAGAGAGAGAGAGAGAGAGAGATAGATAGAGAGAGAGAGAGAGAGAGAGAGAGAGAGAGAGAGAGAGAGAGAGAGAGAGAGAAAGAGAGAGAGAGGTTCAGAAGGAATCTGGAAAAGATGACTCTCTCTAACTCATTTTCTGGGACATGTAGAGAAGGACATCACAATTGGTTAATGCTCTGACATCTCACATTAGTCTCGATGTCACTTCCATATCCGTTATCACACACTTGCGTGATAATTCTGGAATTTTATCAGCATCAGACACATTAATGGAGCAGTACCAACAGAAAGGACTTACCAGTCTTTAGTTAGATGCAGACCATCATCATCATATTTGAATGCAGATGTAAATCTTTCCTTCATGCGACTAAGATACAGAAGAAAGTCTGCTCTGGCATTGGTGTCGAGGTCCTTATTTCTCAGCTCCTGGGAAAAAAATCACATCAGAAATATACACCGGCACGTTTTACCTACCCACATACATACTCGCGCGATTAGTGCCTCAGGGACACTATTTTTCAATGTCCATCACTGACGGGGCACTATTCAAGAAAGGGCACTATTCAAGAGAGGGCACTATTCAAGAAAGGGCACTATTCAAGAGAGGGCACTATTCAAGAGAGGGTACTATTCAAGACAGGGTAATTGCCTACAATGCCAGTTTTCCTGGTATACTACCGGAAAACTAGGGTAACTACCGGCATGCCGGGGATTTTTGACTTTGATCCACGTGCAGCTACGCAGCCAAATCAAAATAAAAAGCAGCTGAGCTTTCACCTTTTTGACTTCTTCCGCGAGGATCTAAGTTTTATTTTGTGAACACGGAAGTACGTCGTTGTTTTGAACTTTTCGTGTGTGGAACAACACGATGATGAGTGCGTATGCAGAAAACAGTACTCCTCCGACCGGCCATAACACCACCAACCCGAGCCCCAAAGGAACGCAATGTAGGTACGTGAAGGCGATTCATCTGGCGATGTTGCTGAAGATGCAGATGACAAACTCCGACGTCTTTCATTTCAGAGCCAAGTGGGCAACACCGCCACCTTCGGCTTCGATACAACGACATCATTTTCAAGCACGAGGTATGTGTGTCACACTAACAGCAAACAAACATCCTTCCACTCCTTCGTAATCACAAATAAAACAAAGAGCTGGAGCTTCGTGGAGGAAGTACCAGTGCGACAAACTGCTGTCGACTTTTGTTTATTTTGTCCCTTTTTGGTGTTCTCATTGTGTACAACGTACACATCGAGTGTCCGAGTTCAGAAGGCAAGCGTGCACCTTACATCGAACAGTTGGCTCGATCGACCAGCACACGGGCTGGACTTCGTTTTTGACGATGAATGTAATGTGCACTTTCATAAAAAAATAAATAAAAAAAATAAAAAATGTACGCGTGGAGGTCAAGTCCGGCGTGACGTCACTCGGTACTTCGGGACAATTTTGGGGACCTTCTTTTCAAGTTTTCACCCACTTCCAGTCATTGCAGAGAAAAACGGATGACACCATCGTGATCAGGAGCCAAAGAACTACAGGATAAGACAAAGAACAATTTTGGTGACAGTTCCCCTTTAAGTCACATTTTGTTAAGAGAGCACACATTGCTTTAGCTGTGATGGCTAATGTCAATACTGTCGTCCCTCTCTAATCCGGCACTTGTTTATCCGGAACCTTTGCCAACCGGCGCACTTTCTGACGAAACCAATTTTTTTCGTTCAATTCCTACATCTTAATCCTGCACTTGAATTCCGCCTCCGGCAGTGACTTTTTCACACGAATCGCTCAAACTGCACGTAGTCTGATTTCATAATCCGGCAGTCGTAAATCGCGTACCGTACAGGTACTAGGTGCACTCCTTGCCAGGCCAGGCTAGGCCAGTCTGGTCAGTGCCGCGTGCGCGGGGCCACTTCAGAGTTCAGTTCAGTTGACAACTGTACTCGACCTTGCGCGGGAGAGTTCAGTTCGGTTGGTTCTTAGGACTTTTCCGAACCCTAACTCAATTTATACAAAGAGAAAGACAAAGGAACTACAAGTTACGCTATACTGTCCACTAATACCACCAGTAACTAAATAATCAGCTCATGCGATAACATTGCACGACACTGACCCACGGTACTGACGTTCTACAACTAACTACAACGTTCGACCTGCATGATGTCGACTGCTTGCGTGGCCTTCTCAAGAGGGTCAATGTTGTCCAGGAGACAACGGCTAAGCAGTCAACCATACTTTCTTATTTTAGCAAGGAGTAGTGTCCTGCCAATTTTCAGGTGTGTGTGTGTGTGCGTGTGTGTGCAAGAGTACATGTGAACATGTTCTCTGTTTTACTTTATCACTTTATCACTGTGTATATTCCTGGAGAACAGTTGAGAAAATAAAGCCGTGCACCAAATACAGTGGTCCCTCTATAATCCGGCAGCATTTGTGCCAGGGGAATTCTGCTGGATTAGGGTGGGTGCTGGATTAACAAATCTGATTTTCTGCTAGAACGTGCATGAAGAGGACATTTTGGCTACTGGAAATTGTGCTGGTTTATCGAGGGTGCTGGATTATAAAGTGCTGGATTAGAGAGGGACGACTGTACTTGGGTCGACACGGTAAAACCCTGCGTTTTGACGTATGATACAGTCGTCCCTCTCTAATCCAGCACTTTATAATCCAGCACCCTCGATAAACCAGCACAATTTCCAGTAGCCAAAATGTCCTCTTCATGCACGTTCTAGCAGAAAATCAGATTTGTTAATCCAGCACCCTCCCTAATCCAGCAGAATTTCCCTGGCACAAATGCCGCCGGATTATAGAGGGACCACTGTACATGCATGCAATTGGGTAGGGCCGGGTCAGAGGGCAGGATTTCATAATCCAGCACCCTCGGTAATCCAGCAGAAAACGCCGTAGCAAATGGTGCCGGATTAGAGAGGGACGACTGTACTGGGTTTTCACAGCAGATTCAGGTGCTATCCGATCACGGCTAACCTTATAGGGCAACGCCATGTGGTCCAACCTTGGTGTTTCCAGTCCTGCGTAGTGTCCCATCTCGATCAGCTTCTCTCGATCAGCCACAGCATCCCAGCGGATGCACACATCATTCGGAAAGTTTTGAGCGTCAAAAAACTCCCTGTTCTGAAACCACGGTAAAGCTGCATGAGAACAAGGTAACAACTTAACTTCATTAACAACAGTACATATTTCTGCTGACTTCATGACTAGACACGGACCAGTGGTCATGACGCTGGCATTAATTAAAGGAAGGTTGGTTGCTTGCAACATTGAGCTCAATTTTTAATTCCTGGATGGAAGTCGTGAGTCAGTCGAGTGTCAAGTCAAGTTGGCGGGAAGGAAGGATCTCGAGTGTGGCGAGCAACCAAAACGAATTTAGCCGGGGTTGTAAAGATTACAATACTTGAGCTTCATGGATATTGATGCGATAGCAGAAAATGCCAGACAATGTGGGAAAGTCTCCACAACAGGATCGTTACGTACGTTCACTGATGATCGTAACGAGAACACTGTTTTGAACTTTTTTTCATTTACATCATTTTCACATCTGTCTCCCATTTTCGTTATTGTCGTCATAATAAACAATGGTTACTGACCAGTTTGTCCTCTTGGTTGCGATACTAACTAACTTACAACTAGTAAGTAACATTTTGTTTATTTCATAATGTTTACAGATACTGTACTGTTGTGTACTTCAGAAACTCTACTCTTCTCCTTCTTGGAAAAATGTCAATGTTGCTTGTGATGAGCCGGAGGCCTTTCCATTCCTTGATTGCTCATATCCGTGCATCACCACACGCACGCACGCACACACGCACCCACATATAGACACACACACACACACACACACACACACACACACACACACAAACACACAACATATACACACGCAAGTCAACATCAACATACTTCCCACTGGCGCACTGTTATTCCAACGTCCTCCGCCAGTGAAGTGATCCGGTCCTTGCTGCTGGTAGTTTGCCAACACCTTGGTCACGAAATTGTGGATCATGTAAAATAGTGGATCCACGCCTGGTATCACGCCTTGGAATGTTCCACCCATACCAACATGGAAGTTGGTATCAAAGGTCTCATAGATACCTGTACAAAAATTCCAAGCACGTAGGAAAATGTAAAACGTGTACTAGTAGGTACTCTTTGTCCAGGGCTTTGGCAGCCGGTTCGGCTGATCCTCTCAATTCTTGCAAAATGGGCTTTTTGTCACATAAGGAAATGAACATGTGATTTTCATTTCTGATCAAGTATACCATTCGAACCACCGCATGAAAACCCGCTACCACTGCCAAAACTGACATGTTTGTGATGTCTGTTTTGTGCCACTGAACACCACACTCGGTGCTAATTCAACAATGAAGAGAGACAACATATTTTTTTGATCCAACAACTAATTAGAGACTAGTTGGGTGGACACACCCATTCCCACAGCACTGCAAATCGAACCGATTCTTTTAAGTACAACGTTTCGGCAATATTGCCATCGTCAGGTACGATTGAAACAATGAATGAATCAATCGTATCTGACGATGGCAATATTGCTGAAATGTTGTACGTAAAAGAATTGTTAAAAAGTCGGCATAGAGACAAGAAACCAAATATCCATGAAAGTAAAGTGAGCGCACTCATACCACGAGAACAATGGAACAATATTTTATGATTTGAACGTCGTTTTCATGTGATAATCATCAGAGATCGTCATCACACTGAGAGTTGGACAACAAAGGAAAGATATTTATGGTACCATAAAGTGAACAGTATTAGATCTAAAACTAATACAAGAAACACTAATATTTTAAAGCTACTTGTAGCACTATTGGACACTCACATACATGTACCTTTCTCACCTGCATTTCTCCAATATACACTAAGTATTGCTTTCACATTGCTCACTGCTCATGTAATCACGCCTCCAATAATGCTAGCTTTAGAATATTAGCGTTTCTTGTATTAGTTTTAGATCTAATATTTGTAAGAAAAGGTTTGCTCCCCACACTGGAGCTCGCGCTATTCCGCCGACTTGACTTGACACTTGACTGACTCACGACTGCCATCCAGAGCACACCGTCACGAAGTCCATCGAACCTTCGACTCAGAAAACCTGCAAGAAAGCACCACTCCCTGCTCAATACACAGTCTTTCGGGGAATTCACCCATCATCAGTTGAGCTTGAGTAGGCTGGGGAAGATTGTGCCTGAAGAGCACCACTTATATAGTCCTCACCAGGCACAAACATCACCAGGGATACAAACTTACAGGGACGGTCTGTTTCCAGAGCGAAAAACACCTCGTGAACACCAGATAGCAGCGCGAGTCAGTGTCGCACCTGAACGATGAGAACAGACGTCGAGGATCCTCAGTCATTCACAACGCTGTCACCTCCAAACCAACTAGTCGCAAGCCCGCGCTGGGCACAAGTCGGCGGAATAGCGCGAGCTCCGGTGTGGGGAGCAAACCTTTTCTTACAAATCATCGCCGAAGTCGCAACCACTATTTCGTATTTAGATCTATAATATTGTTCATTTTATGGTACCATAAATATCTTTCCTTTGTTGTCCAACTCTCAATAATTATGATGACGATCTCTGATGATTATCACATGAAAACGACGTTCAAATCATAAAAATATTGTTCCATTGTTCTCCTGGTACGAGTTCCCTCACTTTACTTTCATTGGTAATATAATTGGCTCGGTTTGCAGTGCTTTGGGAATGGGTGCGTCCACCCAACTACTCTCTATGGGTGAATCTGCAAGATGCCTCAAAGCTACTTCTCAACTACTAGCTAGTATTGAAAACAATCCAGCTCAAGTACCTGGAACACGGATATTCAACCTCAATTTACGTTTAATCGCTGGGGAATTCCCCATCCATCACCTCCGGCTGGCACTGGCATGGAAAGGGACTGGACTGGCCTTTCAATCAAGAAGGATTTACAGAGAGTACTACTTTTAAACCTCACTTCTCAACTCCAAAACGGTCTCTTCACTGCGATTAAAATCAAAATTAAAATCAACATTACACCAAATTTTCGGGCCTGGCCCATCATCAGAGTAATGCCGACCGTTCTTTAGACTTTGGAGACCGTTTTTGGAGTTGAGAAGTGAAGTTTAAATCTGTAAGTGGCTGCGTTGGAGTTTGCGGACAATTAAAAGAGAATACTACTAGTAATACAAGCTGGATCGACATTTGTGTACACTTTATGCATGTAATGTAAAACTGTGGAGACAATGTGCAATAAAACGATGAAAATGTGAAGAAATGATGTAGAGAAAATGAGGATTCAAACAAGTTTTCGTACAACACTCATCAGGAATCTTCGTTGTACTAAAGGACAATGAAAACAAAATTGAAGTATTATAGAAAATCTAAGTTAGAGAAATAACACTAAGAACAACAGCAGTGAAATTTACAAGTGTGAATTTTATCAATGAAAGCGAGAGCAATAACGAATGCGTGTACTGACACTAAACTTGCAACTGAAAAATGAACAGAAGAGAAAGGGACAAAGTGATAACAAATAACAGCAGTACATTACACCTAGAAAATTAACGGCCAAGCTTGGCCGCATCAAACATGACACTTTACTTAAACAGTTTCAACCCAATTATACTATCCTTCTGTACACACAAATTAGGCTTATACAGACGCTGACAGATGGCTTCCAAAACTTTTAACTGTAGTCCATAACCATGACGACCACGCACAATACAGGAAGAGTCGGAATACGAATTGCAACAATCAGGATTAGCCAACAGATGATTGTACACTGAAGACTTGCTACCACGAAACCTACGCACAACACTAACATTCTCACGGGAACTCTCAAAATCACTACAATCGTCGCTCTCCGACTCATTGCTCCCTTCACCGTCCATCCCATCATCCGCTTCCTCTCCGCTCTCTCTCTGTTATCCCGCCTGACTTGGTTCATTGACCGAGACTCGGCCGTCACCCTGCTGTCACGTCCCTCCTTGCGCCCTTGTCCGTTGAGTGCGTAGCTTCTGTTGTAGTTGGCTGTTGATCGTCTTGGTCTTTCAATAGTGGGCTGGGGTGGTGCCGCTTGCGGTCCCGGTCCCACTGCCTCCTCCTGATCCTCCGCCGTCGGCTCTTGCGGCGGTGCAGCTTGCCAGTGACAGACCGCGAGCAACATCGAGAATGGCAATAACACTACAATCGCCAACTCAAAAAGACCCACCTTGCGTATCAGCAGCTCCCACACCATCACCAACAATGCAATATACAGCAAACACAACTAATCCACCATCCAAGCCCACTATTGACAGACCAAGACGATCAACAGTCAACTACAACAGAAGCTACGCACTCAACGGACAAGGGCGCAAGGAGGGACGTGACAGCAGGGGGACGGCCGAGTCCCGGTCAATGGACCAAGTCAGGCGGGATAACAGAGAGAGCGGAGAGGAAGCGGATGATGGGACGGACGGTGAAGGGAGCAATGAGTCGGAGAGCGACGATTGTAGTGATCGTGAGAGTGCCGGTGAGAATGTTAGTGTTGTGCGTAGGTTTCGTGGTAGCAAGTCTTCAGTGTACAATCATCTGTTGGCTAGTCCTGATTGTTGCAATTCGTATTCCGACTCTTCTTTCACTGTATTGTGCCGTGGTCGTCATGGTTATGGACTACAGTTAAAAGTTTTGGAAGCCATCTGTCAGCGTCTGTATAAGCCTAATTTGTGTGTACAGAAGGATAGTATAATTGGGTTGAAATTGTTTAAGTAAAGTGTCATGTTTGATGCGGCCAAGCTTGGCCGTTAATTTTCTAGGTGTAATGTACTGCTGTTATTTGTTATCACTTTGTCCCTTTCTCTTCTGTTCATTTTTCAGTTGCAAGTTTAGTGTTAGTACACGCATTCGTTATTGCTCTCGCTTTCATTGATAAAATTCACACTTGTAAATTTCACTGCTGTTGTTCTTAGTGTTATTTCTCTAACTTAGATTTTCTATAATAGTTCAATTTTGTTTTCATTGTCCTTTAGTACAACGAAGATTCCTGATGAGTGTTGTACGAAAACTTGTTTGAATCCTCATTTTCTCTACACCATTTCTTCACATTTTCATCGTTTTATTGCACGTTGTCTCCACAGTTTTACATTACATGAATAAAGTGTACACAAATGTCGATCCAGCTTGTATTACTGATTGCGGTTATCAAATTCTTGTCTCCTCGCCGTTTGTTCGAATACTACTAGTATAATTATTACGAATTTGAAATTTATAATAACACACATTCTAGCATTCCAGCAATACGACACCAAGTTGGTCGGTACCAAAGGTGGTAGTGCATCCTTTCTTTGCTTTGAAAAGGATTCCTGGCTCACAATGGTTTAAACCCAGCTCACGTTCCCTTTTGAAAATTATAAAATCTCAAAGCGCAGTTTACCTAGCTCAAACATCATAGAGCTGTCTGGAGGCACAGTCAACATTGTATTGAACTCTAGGTACGATGCAGGCTTCATTGTGGAGGACATATTCCGTTTTAAGCATGTCGTGTAGGGCAACTCCACGCCATTGTAACTGAACTTTAGTATGGTGTATTCCCCTGTGAAGAACGACAGAGAGAAGCCATTATGAACTTAATGGACGCTAGTGCCGGAGATCTCGTATCATCATTACAAGACATACAAGTATCAATACTTCATAATATGCCAGCACAGAATTCGTTGTCTTGACATGAGAAATTCGAACAAGTTCATCTCGATGGCCTTTGTAAATAACAAATTCAACAGTAAGATATTACAGGTTAGTCCTGCCAGTGAACAGTGTATTTTCTAGTTTATGATACAAAAAGACAATAATACCAGCTTGCAAAAGGCACACAAAAAACATGTTTCACTATGCTTCTTTGGGATCACTTGTCTGACTGGGGCTAGGGAAACAAAGACGATGACAGGAAGAGAATCATCACTTCCCAGGGCACGTGCACTGGTCTCAACAGGTTGTCCGATTGTTGCCTAAAGAAACCGTCTTCAGCGATCCTACCATGCATTTAGATATCAGCTTGGAAGATAGGGCATTTTAAACCAGAGTGGTAAGTAATGTTGGAAGCTCAATTACCTTTTCTGTATGGTCCGTCAACTACACAGTAATCTGGGGGCACTCCTGTGCCACCAAAACCTTCAGGTACTTGCTCTAAGAACGTCTGAACAAGAACAAATAAATGCACAGACCAAAAAGACTACCAGTACGTCGCCTGGTTTATGACAATGGCACCTGGCCGAAAACTTGATTGATTGAGATTAAAATAAGAAATTTTGCAGCAAAGAGACGACTGGCGTGTGTGCTGGTATAGGGTTGTCCATGCTATGAAATGGTTGCAGTGCACCTTGACAAATGGTTTGCGATGGACATGAGAAACCGGAGTACGGCTACATGCACGCATGTTTTAAAGTTTAGTTTTACAGCGAGTAGCACTAGGTAACGGAATCACACTGCAGGAACAAGAAGTAGTGTGAATAATATATTTGACCCTCATTCCAAGTTTTGCTGTCCACACAGACCCCAGGGGTATAGGTTTCGGTATTATTATACTTCATTTTATCTCCCTGAAATTCCAGGTATTCCTCAACAAGTGGATATCAGAGGTAATAAAATTGTCCGGTTTAGAATTATGGACTCCAATACACCACACCACCACATTGCGCTCTTGGCCGATCCAAACTCTGCACTCACATCACCATCACCACAGCGAGGACAATTCCGGTATATAGATTGATAGACAAGGATCCTCCAGACAGCTATTTCTCTCATCCTGAGCTCATCAGTGGAGGCATATGATGTTGAATGAAAGAATATTAAGAATAGACTGATTTTTATAGGGCTAAATTGGCGCAATTGCGCTCATTCTGCATAGAAACGTGGCATACCAAAAATGACAAAAGTGATAACAAGGTCAGGTGATATGGCGGCGTAGTGTGGCTGTGTGCGACGGGCTGGCAGGACAGTGATTGCCTCAGGGGCCTCTTGGTCTGCCTCGTCGGCCAGTTCGCTTCGTCGTTTGTTCCCCCCCCCCCCCGTCACGTCACTATGGCATAAGTACAGTCAGCCGCAGTATCTTTGTTTTTGAGGCACATGCAATAACTAACTTTTCTGGTGTTAGACTGACTGCTGTTTTTTTGCGCCCACATTTTCACACGTGCTACATGTTCCTGTCCCAGCCATGAGCGCATGTCGTTATCACCTGGCCCTGTTATCACTTTTGTCACTTTTGCCACTTAGGGTATGCCACGTTTCTATGCATAATGAGCGCAATTGCCCCAATTTACCCCTATAAAAATCAGTCTATTCTTATTATTTTATCATTCAAAGTCATATGCCTCCAAGGATGAGCTCAGGAGGAGCGAAACAGCTGTCTGGAGGGTCATTGTCAATATCAATCTATATACCGGAATTGTCCTCGCTGTGATGATGGTGATGTGATTGCAGAGTTTGGATCGGCCAAGAGCGCAATGTGGTGTGGTGTATTGGATTCCATCATGGCCGGGTCGTCGCTACTTCTTCTCAACTGGGTTAGAGTTATATGTTTGGTTTCAATCCAGAAATAATTTTTTTTAAATAATGTGTGGGGTCCGTTTGGACCCCAGAAAACTACATCGAAGAAATGTATAATATATGGTATATTTTTTATAGCCCATACCTTAGCTCTCATCAATTCATTCTGAAAATCGTTGTTTAAGGAACACAGACAGCAGAGCCCTGAAATCATCTTGCACTACAAAAGTACAAACCGGGATGCGGTGGATAACCTCGATAAATTGTATTCAACATACACCGTCAAGTGAAGGACGCGACGGTGCCCCCGGGCCATTTTTTGCCCATAAAATGTAGAAATTGTTGATATCACCTCCACCACTACATTCCGGTCTCAGCCGCCTAGACCCTCCTGCACACAGCCATCACCACTGCGAGGACACTTCCGTTGACGTTGAGAGCGCAGTGTAATGGTGGAGGAGATATCAACATTTTTTCTTCAACGGCCGAGAGCTCTGTCGCACCCTGTAATAACATAAAATGATGTAGGTACTTCAGTAGCAGGAATTATCATCTGGAATTCCAACAAGCCTGGCTGCATGCATCGCCAATGAGAAGGCATCCAAGCATCTCCTATTCTTTAGATACAATGTAGGTCGATACCGACCTTGTGAGTCATCATTTCCACTGACGCATGGTAACATCTCGTTACCTCATTTGCCAAAGCCAGGGAGCTTTGATACTGGACTCGGATGGAGAGCCAAGGGTAAATTAGTAAAGAAAAAAGGACCAGAAGCTACAGTACTGTCCGTACCGTCGGTCAGTGTCATGCAATGTTATCGCATCAGCTGATTGTTTAGTAACTGGTGGTGCTAGTGGACAGTATAGCGTAACTTGTAGATTCTTGGTTCTTTTTCCTTTAGCTTTGCTATTGATTGGATTTCTAAAGCTTCCAGCACCTGGTGCTGCTACAACACAAGCTAGTTGCCGAAGGTGCCTACTGCGGCCGCAGAAGTCACAAGAGAGTCAAGACCTTCCTTGCTCAATATGGTTTCAGCGATTGTTCAGCGAACATCATATTTTTTGTACAATTTGCGATATGTCGGAAGTTCAAGGGGATATTTCGCTTCGAGCTTGGGAAATTTTTACTCTCCGCTCCATAATGGACTATAGGAACCAATAAAATCTTCAAACTCTTTGGAGAATCGAAAAATATGTGTCCTGGTTCCGGATGGACCCCGCGTCCGTGTTTGATGAAAGTATAATTATCTAGCCTGCTCGACGAGTAGTTGCCAAAATACCTACTAGTAGTTCCAACTGCATAACACAACACAGGCCTTGTATTTGTGTCTCGAAACCCTGAGAAAATCCTTTCTTGCTTGTGGTGGTGGGTGGCTAAATGATAGACACCTAGTATATTATGTTGCATGTCACAAGTTCATCTCGAAACTTTCCTCTTTTTGCCCTCTCCCACACATTCTTAGGGTCACTTTTGTGTTTTTCCGGCATACCCTCCCACATCAGTTAAACCTCATCAGTTCTGTGTATTTGTGGGCTACATTTTTGCAAGTGGCATTGGGTACGGATTACGAGTTGACTTTTGGGAAGTTGCTAGTATCATGCTACTTATGCAGTAGTGAGTTTGTGCCTTCTCGTAGACCCCATCCCTATGTACAGTAGTCTACACCGACAGTACCTCAGGCTCTACATTTGACAAGTGTAACTGACAGGTTGTTCAGCATAGCAACTACTTCCTCCGCGTCATCGAAATTGTCGCAATTTGACTAGTGACTTGTGACTGACAACTCCATAAGCTAAACCATACAAATGTTATTACACATGATGATAATGTGTAGTCTGAAGTCTAGAGTAACGTTCCAGGACAGTTGGACTGAGAGTTTCACACGGAGCTGAAGGCCTCGTCGTCGCTGATGTCAATGGACGAAGAAAATATCGTTCCGCAACTTTTCCGGGACGGTTGTAAGTTGGTCGCGCCTCATCTCAAACGCTTTGACATTCTCCACAGGACAAGAGCTGCTATGCTTGTCGTCTGCTAGCTCTGGATGATTTCTTCTTCACCACCAACGCAGATCGTTGCGAGGTCGGTTGATTACCGTCGGCGGAATCACCTCGATCTTGAAATGAACTTTTTTTTTAGCCGCGGGATGCCCATTCATTTTAGCTGGTGTGGTCACTGCTCATGCAGGTAAGTGTTCTATCACGTCGAGCGCGCACTCTTTTTCAGCTTCTCTGGTATATCTACAGTACCTGTACGTGCATCAGCAACTAGAACTACAGTGTACACGCAGAGTCTACACGGCCCTTGCAGGTACTCCGCTACTGAGTATCTCAGCTTTCCTTTGCATGAATGCAAGAGCGATAAATGTTATCGCTCTTGCCTGCATTACTTGCCATTAGTTTGCCGACCCCTCGATGTTTCTCCAAGCGCTGCTGCTTGCTCCACGAAGTCATTCTCACCCCAGCTCAGGTAAAACAGTGATAGGTTTTTGACTGAATGGCTATAAGCGCGAGAAATGTGCAGGCTGCAACGCCTGACCGGTTTCAGGGAGTCGAAAGTACCATCGCAGCGACATCAGCGAAGAAATTGCGTCTACAAAATCTTCAGCTTCCAACAACAGAAAAAAAACTTTGCCGTCACCCTATATTGATGACTATCGTCTATGTCCGATTCCTTAGCTGTGGTACGACAGCTGGTGAGTATAGACCCAGTTTTATATCAAAACTCAAACTGCGACAATTTCGACGACGCGAAGGAAGTACTGATTTAGGAGTGACGGATAGGAGATTATTATTATTACTTCAAGTATTATTATTATTATTATTATTTGTTTTACATCGGAAGCTCAACAGTGCAGCAGAGATGCTCACCTTGCCATAGTCCAGTGAAACATCCCAGTAGGGAATAGTAACCCGGCAGTCAATCAGCCGTAGCAGGTTCTCCATAGCAAACAAAAGCAAGTTGTGATAGCCTGTGGTATCGCTTTGTGTATACAATGACTTGGGTATCTTTTTGCAGAAGAACACGGCATGCGACCATTGTATGGAACGCATAGCTGGCTGGTAAATTTCATTCCTGGTAGCTGTCAAGAATGCACGAGTAAATCGATCTCTCTCCTCCTGAATAGCAAGCCGGAAAGCATTCATATAATCCATGAAAGTAAACACAGGAGCATGTTTGTAGTTATGGCAATGTGCAACATACATGATCATGAGCTCGGCAGTGCTTTTATACCTCACTTTCCACAATGTTGTATACACCTTCAATTAAGCTGCTGGCGGATATTGCCAGTAGAAAACCAACAGAATTTGGTACTTTTCTGGTATGTACATGCGTGTTTTGTATAATATACCAGACATACCAGAAAAGTACTAAATTGTAGATATCCAAGAAGAGCAGAACTGTCATTTCACTGCTTTTTGAGCAGAATTTGCCAATTTCGGGAGCATTATCCACCATCCAGCATTATCCACCATGCCTAACTCCAATAATGATAATGTCTTCAACAGTAATATTAGGTTGAGTTTGGCTCTCAAGTAGAGCAGGGCATGTCTCAAAGAGTAGCACATATCAAAACAATTTGATGGGCACTACTGGCTTATAGACCAGGCAGGCACAGTGGGTTGGTCAAAGTCCATGATTGAGATACGTGAGGTACCTGGTTCAAGTCCTGCCTGGGAGCGGTTTTTCCAGCCGTGCTGCTACCCACAGTCAACTGGGAACTTGTGGCCAGGCAAAAGAGGTACATGGATGCAGCTAATGGGGTCGTTCTTGGCACTTGTGCCAGTGGTTGTAAGACTTACCCACTCACCCCCACCGTTAGGCGCTGCATCTGCCGCTAGGGTCTACCAGGTGTTAGCTGCCGTCGTGAGTTCCCTTCGGGAACGGACACGATAATTTACTCTTTTTTTTACTGGCTTATAGATAACTGGTTGCATTCTCACTCTAACATTCACTATCGAAGATGACTCCGTCAACGTGTAAGTCAATTTCAACCTATTATGTCACCCAAAGTTTACATCAACGATGGATATGTCCCATTCTAGATTGGCAGCAAATGCAGAGCCCAATAGAGACAACAAAGAAAGAGAGAGAGAGCTTGAACTCAGGGTCAGATCAGGTTGTTCACACATCCATGCCATTGCAGAAACAGCAGAAATGTCAAAAGGGAAAAGGTGTGGGAACAAAAAAGGGCCATTCTCACGCTACCTGAGATAAGTTCTTGACACTCTTCCTCAGCCGGCAGCATTTCCACTTGCCATCCACACACTGACAGTCCAAGTTACACTGGCCAGTGTAGCTAGCATTTCCGCTGCATTCTGTGCAGCAATCAGGCAACACAGTGAATGGCATTGCACTGAACAGGCACGTCACACCAACTTTGGAGGCTGCATAGCTGGAGTTCTACACTCTTGGGGGTTATGTACTCTTGCTAGCAAATGGTGCCTAGCAAAGCACATACAGTCATGTACATTTATACATTTATGTTTTCAAACTGTAGTAGGAAATTAGAAAACCTGGCTCGTACAGCTCTTTTCTCTCCCAAGCTCAACAATTCAGGAATACGAATGAAAGAAAGAAATCATCAGTCGCACCACTGGGACTCGAATCAGGTACCTTACTCATATCTGGCTTGCAAGTGTTTAATTTCGGAGAGAAAAGAGCATCACGATGCAGGTGGCCCAAGTTCCTAATACTTTGAAATTCTCCGCGAAGTCCGAATTTGAAATTACAATGCATATTTTAAGTACGCACGGGCTACAAGCCGACTTGCATGGAAGCGAATGTGAGAATGGAGTTACAAAAGGTTTTTAGGAAGGAGGATATATGTACACTTAAAGGTATATTCAAACAGATCAGCAGGTGATCACTGGAGGAGACAATTACCTACTGTATGTTGTGGCTTGACTCAATGAAGTGTCACTGCCATTCCCTGATTCAACAAGCGCTTTCGACGGACATACTCACCATTTTACTGACAAGATACTTCCGAAGAACGTGTCCACTTCTACCGTTGTCGCTTCTGCTTTCTGCTTTTTGTCGATATATCGGTTTGACTAAGTTTTTTCTTGCTACGTCGGTGTCTTAGCAAACTGCTGTCCTGTCCACAACGTTCTACGATTTCACAGGCACACTTGATGCAGCCATGCAGTACATACACTCTTTTCTCAAGAGGTGTGAAGTGATTTTCAGGAACGTTCCGACGGGTATTCTCAAACAGGAAAGGGCAACAATCGTTTTGGTAGGAATCGGAGAATCCTCTCTTCGGTTAGAAGGCAGTATTGCCGGTGCCCTGAGTGAGTTGAAATAAAAGAATACAACAACAACAACAACAACAACACTCCAGTGGCTAGTCTCAGGATACTGTCGACGTCCGACAGTCCTGCTGTCCGTCGTAGCAGAATCGTGTCGCAGTCGGATGCTGCGGAGCAGTGTCGCTCCGCTGGCGACCACAATACTCGAGGTACAAAACTCTTTGTTACATACACTATGTCGTACACGGGTACCATAAGTCCACAGTTGTACAGGTCTACCATCATTAGTGCGACATCCATTACAAGCGTCCAAGGCGAGTTCGTCCGGTTGAAATATTTGTCCATGGACCATAAATCGTGTTGGAAAGCTGGACAGATCGAGGTTACGTTGCAAGTAGACCAGCATCGATTTTTAGTACAAAACTCGTTGAACGAAAAAGACTAGAATACATTCCCGACCAATATTTCTGCTTATCACTCCCTTAGTATTGACTCCCATAGATTTTTGCCATACCTAAGCAGTCAAATATTCCTGCATATTTGACTCCTTAGGGCTATATTGACCGCATATATTTGACTCCTTTTTAGCGATTGAACACAGGCTTTGGCTAGTCGTGATAAATCAAATATTGACTTCGTACTTGGTCAGTATAGGAAATAAAAGACCTCGTAAAAGACCTCGGCTTCGCCTCGGTCTTTTACTCGGCTTTTATTTCCTACATTGACCTCGTACTCAGTCAATATTAGATACTTATAGTTATACAACACCTCACTACCAGGCAAAGCAAAATGGCCATGGACTACGAATTTTCTCGGATGGCTACATGTTCGCTGCCAGTGCCTTGGCATAAAGTTTTAAAACACGATTTTCCTGCGTTTTTGTTTTGGTTCTAGCTACAGGACCATGATGACTGTACTGATGTAATTATATTAATTATTATGTAGCTCAATCGATGCTTCATGTTCATAGGATCTGCTGTAAGTCTTATAAGTAAGTATGTACAATTAATGTGTAAGTTATACAGTAGTTATAGGCCGATGTCCTTGGTCACACATGCACTTTTTGGGCGGCTCCGCGAAAAGTTTGGATTTCGCTATGCCAAAAAAGGCGAGCGGAACATCCGCTTCCGCGGTCCCGCTTTGGCGAATCATGCATGGTGATGGTTTTGGTCTGCTACTTCTGGCACGGAGTTCTGGTGTTGTTTGGTGGCCGTTTTGTCATATTATTCCTCTTTGCAAATATACTGTTCGTCCCGGAAATCTCGCAAACGAAACGACATCGTTCTGAGTGTAGAGTTGGTGAGGGAATCTGTCTCCCAACTCCTTGGCCCCGATCGCGGACGAGAAGGGACGACGTTTCTCTCTCCAAGCAATGCGTCCACCAGAGTACGCAACACTAGGACTGCAACCAGAGAGTAGTAGAGTACTCTGCCACACCCTCACCATGCTCACTGCAACTACAGGAATCCACGCTGGGGTCGATGATGGATCATGGAGGAGGCAAAGACACTGTGCTATACAACTGTTTGAATTTGATATCGATGTAAACTAATCATATTCAAGTGCACCCGTACTGGGCCGCAGCGAATGTGCCCCAAATCCACGAGTGTACTTGACAGGAGACATTCAGCAGCCTTTCAGTGATCCACGATAGCTCTACAAGCAAAGTTTTAAGATTTTAAGCTAGCCTGCCTTCCTTATGTATGCCTGAAATAGGTTGTGTTTCGTCTGGTTTTGACATGTTCCTTTCTTCTCAGTATTCTCGCTCGCATAGTAATCCACTTCTATGATAATATTGCCTGTGCTGTTGCTCATTAGGATTTTGTCAAATTCTATCCTTCGCTCTCATATAACTGGGCCAGGAACCCGTTTGAACTTGCGAAGTAAAATAAAATCAATCAATCAATCAATCAAAGGTCGCTTCAACTCGGACAAAAACATCTAGAATGTCATAGGACGTGTAGGTCTACGTGCTGCATTTGCATTCCCTCCGCCAAAGCGGAGCGTTGAGGAACACAGTACAATCGATCATGTACATTATTATGTATGTGTGACCGGCTGACCGCTGCATCGTGTGTTCCGCAAAAGCTGCTGCGGTAGTTACGCTTTTCGCCTCCGCAAAAGCGGTTCAAACTAACTTTCATGTGTGACCGCGGCCTAAAGGGGTTGTTTTACCTGGGGAAAGTCATAATGAGGAAACAGCATTTCTGTTGAAACTCTCGGGGTTGTCTACTAACGAGGGTAGATATACGGGACGCATGGAGTCAGGAAGAACACGTATCGCTCCAACGTACTACCTACCGGTGCTTTCTCGTGGTTCACGAGCGTCATCGTTGTACTTGTAGTTCAGCACCAGGTCTTTCAGAATTTCCGAGTGATCCTTCCCATCCCATTTCGGTGCCGGAATGGCTTTGGTTGGGAGGGCGGCTCCAAGAAGTACTCCTACTCCTAGCAGGGTGCCGACCTGGAGAAACCTCATTCTCCTGTCGGTCTAAACCTCAGTCGCAGTCTTCTCGACCAATACGAAGAAATTCTGGTTTCACTTACTGCTCTACGTATATACTATTATATACTCAATCTGCATTATATACATGTATGATTGTACTTTGTGATCTGTTCTGGGGGAAGCAACGGTGGCGTTGACAACCTCAAAAGCAGAAACAAAGGAATATTTCCTGTGAAAGCGCTGCGGCAGTATGCTAGTGCACTGCATGCACCTTCTCACAGCACAGCGAACCTTACGCCTGGCTCGTAAAGCAACGACAGACCATTCAGGTTGTGCTTGAAACTAAATTCCCTCTATCCCAACTTTGTATGCCCTGATTTAGAGCTGTTGCGAAATACCACTTCGGGCCAATCGAACTCTTGCTAGTGGCACTTACCACTCTTGAGTGTAACACTGGCACAGTGACTGCTGCGTTCCTTTGATTCCCTGGGAACACCACCTGAGCCTCAACCTCCCCATACTGAAAATGCTAATGATGGCTGTCATGCCTTTTCCTCATTGACCACCTGTGCGCTCCTAACTGACTTTGAAAGTCCTATGTGGTCTAGTCTGCGACTGTGCACATACATCTAGGCTCAACTTTCCGCGATGAGACCTGCGACGTATGTATGATGTATAGAATCAGACATGGATGTCAGGGCAGTATCGTTGATTCACACTTGCCACGTGATCGTTGCCACGGTTTGAGCCAATCAGAGCGCTCACAGGCAAGGCATGAACCTCTGATCATGCCCTGCCATTCAGGCCCTTGGGCTTGAATGGCACCGTAGGAGAACATGAATGATCACGTGATGGGTATACTCGCACGTGGAGAGACTTACCTGATCGAGGTGGAACAACTCAAGAGAGAAAGAAATAGCCTGATATCCGGTGCATGTCTGATACATGCGGTGGCATTCAGGCCCTTGACCAATCAGCACGTCCCGAGAGCGTGTGGAGGTGAAACTGAACACGCCGGCATGAACTTGATGAAGGTATAAAAGGAAGAAACCTCTAGGGGTGGTGGTCGGGGACGTGGAGGATTCAGCTTCTGAGTTTCAGGTTGGTACGCTCGAGGGCTTTGTTGATTCAGGCCCGAGAGCGGCCCAAGGCCGAAGGCCGCGGGCCGCTCGAAGGCCTGAATCAACAAAGCCCGAGATGAAACTTTACCTTGCTTGAGATGAAACTTTACCTTGCTTGAGATGAAATTTTACCTTGCTTGAGATGAAAATTCACCTTGCTTGAGTTGAAACTTCAAAAACTTCAGAACGAAACTTCAGCGTGAGTTTCTGCCATTGTTGTGCAACGAGTGCCATAAAGGACTTGAGAACTTGGGCAGGCAGGCACTCGGTGTTTCTAGTTGATGTACATGTATTTCAAGTTCGATTTATGCAGATTAGTGCAGTACAGTAGGCCTTGGCGGATAATGCTCGAAAAGGTGGCAGATTCTGCTTTTTTTGCACCGAAATTGGCAGAACCATACAAACCTTATGGCGGGCAATTCCTCGAATTCTGCTCCATTTCTTTATCCACATACCAAACATGCATGAAACTTACCAGAAAAAGTACCGAATTCTGCCAATTTTTCTGCCGGCATTATCCGCCAAGGCCTACAGTACAGTGGCTTTGTTTGCGCTGCTAGCATGCTGCGGGTGCGTTGTAGATGCGCTTGCACGTGCACGCTCTGCTGAGGAGAGCGTTCTGGCTTTCACTTGTGCTGTCGTGCGTGGGTGGCAGTGTGAAACACAATCAGATATGGATGTCAGGGCAGGTATCGTTGATTCCGGCCCTCGAGCGGCCCGCGGCCTTCGGCCTTGGGCCGCTCTCGGGCCTGAATCAACGATACTGCCCTGACATCCATGTCTGATTCTATACTTCAGGCCCGAGAGCGCCCAAGGCCGAAGGCCGCGGGCCGCTCGAGGGCCGGAATCAACGATACCTGCCCTGACATCCATGTCTGATTGTGTTTCACACTGCCACCCACGCACGACAGCACAAGTGAAAGCCAGAACGCTCTCCTCAGCAGAACGTGCAAGTGCAAGTTCACCTACAACGCACCCGCAGCATGCTAGCAGCGCAAACAAAGCCACTGTACTGCACTAATCTGCATAAATCGAACTTGAAATACATCAACTAGAAACACCGAGTGCCTGCCTGCCCAAGTTCTCAAGTCCTTTATCATGTTTATGGCACTCGTTGCACAACAATGGCAGAAACTCACAAGCTGAAGTTCCACCTCCGTGCGCTCCGGCTGAAGTTTCGTTCTGAAGTTTCATGTCAAGCAAGGTGAAGTTTCAACTCAAGCAAGGTAAAGTTTCATCTCAAGCAAGGTGAAGTTTCAGGTTGGTACGCTCTCGGGCTTTGTTGATTCAGGCCCTCGAGCGGCCCGCGGCCTTCGGCCTTGGGCCGCTCTCGGGCCTGAATCAACAAAGCCCTCGAGCGTACCAACCTGAAACTCAGGAAGCTGAGTCCTCCACGTCCCCGACCACCACCCCTAGAGGTTTCTTCCTCCACGTCCCCGACCACCACCCCAAAAATTCCAACCGCAAGGAGGTCTTGAATTAACTTGTCGTGGTGCACTTTATCAAAAGCCTTCGACATGTCTAATAGGCACAGCCCTGTGGTCTTGCCACTGTCTCTCGCCTTCTGCAGATTATCAGTCAGCACACAGAGGGCGTCTTCCGTGGAACATTTCTTGCGGAAGGCAAATTGTGTTTCGGGTAATGCCTGGGTCAAGTCCAAATGACGAACTAACTGGTGTTGCACTACCCTCTCCAGCAACTTGGACACTATTGGGAGAAGGGATACAGGTCTATAGTTGGTGGGGACTGATGGGTCACCGGCCTTGTACAGTGGCACGACAGACGCCAATTTAAATGCGGATGGAATGGTTCCAGTCCTCAGCGAGGTGCAGAACAGCACAGCAAGAGAATATGAAAGCAAGTCAGCACACTGCTGTAGCAGAGAGCCCGGTATGCCGTCACTACCTGTGGCTTTCCGCGCATCCAACTTCTCAAGGAGACGTCGGACGTCAGCAGGAGTCACAGGATCAAGTTCGGTCAAGGAGACGGGTCCAGCGGGACCGTGCGGGGTACAGAGTTGTTCAGGACGGTTGGGATCGGTGACAATGGAGTGGAACGTGTCGGCCACCTCGCTGATGCTACAACTAGGATCTTGGCGGCGACGTGAACGCCCAGTGACTGCATTTAGAATGGCCCAAGACTTCCTAGGGTTGGCCACATTTTCTTCGCACTGACGGGAGAAGTACTCGTTTCGCTTGCGCCGATACGCGTTCCGAGCAGTGCTACGTGCTTGTTTAAACTCTGCATACAGTGTGCCGTTTGTCCTATCCTTCCGCCAACGGCTGTGCAGCCGCCGTTTACGCTGTTCGAGCTGGTGCAGCTCTCTGTCAGACCAGGGAGGTATCGCCCTCCGGGAAGGCTTAGAGTTGTGCAGCGGGGCATGCTTGTCCAAAACGTACAGGAACTTAGTGTGCCACTCTTTCCACATGTGATTTACATCATTGTGATCCGAAAAATCATGTAGAGAAGCCTCAAGGATATCTTGCCGAAAAGAGTTAATGTCAACGCCACGTATATTCCTGGTCAGCCGCGACGTCGTGGATGACGCGGGTGGAACGTCAACGGCAAGCTGAATAAAGGCTTCCACAGCGCTGTGGTCACTAATATCAGTGGGCACAACCGTTGCTAGGGACACTAGCGCCGGGTTGGTCAATATGAGATCAATCATCGTGCCTTCAGGGCACTGTGGAGTTTCACGGGTCGGCTGCATGACGATGTTCTGGAGGCCAAACGCAGCACAGAGGTCGGTGACGTGTTTGTGCTGGGGTGCCGGATGGGCTGGGTCCATATTTACATTAAAGTCTCCAACTAGGGTCACGGAAGAAGACTGCACAGCTGCTCGTACAATATCTGCTTCCAAATCTGCCCAGTAAGACACTGGCTCCCCCGGTGGCCGGTACACGCAACCAACCAGGTGCCGACCTGGTTTTCCGTTTATTTCTACCCAGACTGTTTCTGTAGATTCAGAATGCAGATCTGGGCGGGATCGAACTGGGAGATCTTGACGGTAGTAGAAGCAGACTCCGCCACCCAAGCGTTGAGTGCGGTCTTTTCGAATCAGATTGTACCCGTCAATACTGAGCTCTCCGTCTGTAATCTCGGGATCTAGCCATGTCTCTGATAGACCCAAGATGTCGTACTGACGCGTGCGGATGAGGCTGGCAATCTCTGGCAGTTTGTATCTTAAGCTACATGCATTGAGCGTGGCTATTTTTATGCCAGACTGAGTCGGCGTAGATGCATGGGGTATAAAAGGTGGTGCATGAGGATTGAGAGGGAGAGTCATAGTAGGGGCTAAAATGTTGATGCAGATAGATACAGACAAATGCGGAATAAAGTTAAAACCTCTAACAACTTACAAGCTGTCCCTTCGCCTGCTCCCGAGCTTTCGCTGTGGCATACTCATCCGAAGCCTTGTGACGAGTTGACGAATGGCTTTGCTCTCCTCACTCTCAGTCACCTGGACTCCCTGCTTTGTAGCAGGAGTAATAACACGCGCTGGGAACGTGTGTTTCCCACGAGCCAGCTTGAAGCCTTGGTCATCGGGTGATGGGTGACCAGCTTTGCCTCTACTCATCGGGAACGCGGGTGTGGATGAAGATGTGGGGGCAGTCGCCTCGGTTCGAGCACTCGTGCAGGGAGTGTGAACTCCCAACGCATTGGCGTACGTCCAAGGTTGTGGTGCATCAGGGACATGATCCTGTGCCTCCTTGTTCACACTGCCTTCTTGTTGCTGTTTTGCTGGTGTTGGTAGCGCTGCCACTTCTTGGTTTTCCTGCCCCTGCCCAAGTGGTTCTTGGGGTGGTCCAAGCTCGCTTGTTGACGTTGCAGCTCCCGGACTGGGCTTGGTGCCTTGCCGCGAGATCGCCCTGCAATCCCTCGCCACGTGGCCGGGGGTGCTACATTTCCAGCACGTGGGGGTCTGCCCTTTGTGCCAAACTCGCAGTTTGTACCGGCCTACGGTGATGGAGCTGGGGACAGCGATTGTGGGTACCATGGTGTAGTATACGATACCTGTACTGAAGGTGCAGCCCTCAACCGTCTTTTTCTCGTTTTTCACGGGCCCCAAGAGTGTCCCAAAACGACTCAGTGAAGACGCAATGGCCGACAGCGCCA